ACACACACACACACACACACACACACACACACACACACACACACACACGCACACAGGTGTGGGAGCCTGGAGATTTGTAACACAGACTCTCGCTTAACGTAGCTAACTTTAGTCATTATTAAGTCTTGTTTAACATACAATTATAATGTACAATCTTCCTTATCTGAGAGTGAATAAATAAATAAAATTAAAAAAATACAATAAAATGTTATGCGGAATCAACCAAAGCCATTTGAGGCTCTATAAACTCTTAAATAAAAAAAACATGATGGTCCGCGTTATACACAGCAAACGCATACAACGCATGTTATTTAATATTTTCCCTTTCGCTCGTACTCAGCCGGAACAAACGGTTGTTTATCAAAGATTTTTTATTTACATAAATATTTACAACAAACACTTGACCTTGACTTTTTTAAGCCATAAATAATAGCGGAAACTAATTTTCAAGTTCATTTGAGTTCACAAATAGATCTCCAGTGATTACGTTTTAAACTGCGGTTACGTCTAGAAGTGCTAATCATGTCTTTATTGCCAAGCCTTTTACTCGGTCAAGGTTGTTTGTCCCGGAAAAGGTATAAAAAGTTTAATGAATCAGCTTGAGCATGTCAGAAATAGGCTTATGTCCGTGCTATAAGAGTGGCGTTGAATTTAGGACGCATACTGGAGTCTTTTATTTTTATTTAGCACTTTACTCGTCAAAGGTGCGTCTATATTGATTAGTTGCAATTTTGAAACACGCTACCCCACATGTCGCACTGCTATTACAATAGTGTTGTAACTCAAAATATGTGAAATTAAAGATTATACTATTGCTGAACGTAAAATTTTATTCTCTTTACGTCAAAAAAACCGTCGTTAAAATATTGTAAGAAATAATTAAAAAACATCTACTTAACTCAAAATGAGACAAACTTTTTGCAAACTAGTTCTGGATAAAACAGTCTCACTAAATAAGTTTCTAAAAATATTAAGTTATTCTTTCCTTTTATTTGGCAAGTAGGGAGTTGTTTAGATGTTTGTAATAAATGAACTTTAACCTATACATAGATTTTAATAATATTTCGTTGGAAGTGAGTAATTCGTTTTTCATCGATTCTGAAAAAATACACTTTTTGAGTTAATACACTATCGTATTAACAATGCGATGTAATGATAAATATTAGTTTAAACAGACGTTGAAAGAATTTAGTTTGAGAAATGCCGTTTATAAATAATATATAATAATGTGTGGGTACCACTTACTTGAATATACTAGGGGTTGGGTGCTTGGAGACCAGTATCACAAGCTCTGTTTAGTTTGTATACTTCAGTCTTCCATAATACATTACTCTAAGCTTATGTAATAATATCCATCTCTACTGTAATTGTTCATGTGTTTTGTTTTGTGGAGATAAATAAGGATATGTTTGTCGGAGCTAAGGCTGGAAAGGGTGATGTCGAAGGAAACACCCTCAACGCAGATTTAGTCAGGAATTACTTGATAATCGGCTTATTTACTCCTCGTTACCAATTCGATCAACCAGTGGTATAATAGTAACGTCAACTGATTATAATTACCTGTTTTATGCACTTTTCAAAGTAAATAGTCCGAAAGTATAAGAGACGGATGAGGTTAACATGTATTCTAATAATCACGCGGCAAGTTCAAAGAGAGCGAGGCGGTACGTCTTCACTGTACAAGCTTATTTACACAAAAAGCCCATTCTCTCCGACCATACCCAGTTTGAGCTGTCAAATTGACGTGACATTTGCAACAGAGAAACCATGATCGAGACTAGTTAAAATAATTCGTAGGTAGCCTAGTAAATCGTTTATATAATAAATTACGTTTGAAGAGATAGCTGGCTTCGACATATTTAAATAATAAATAAATAACGCACACACTCAACATAGCCCCGCACTAGGGAAACCCTGTGTCGCGGGTGCCATGGACACACATATAGACAACCACAAATTACACCCAAACTCACGAGAGAAATAATTGTAGGCCATACAACTATTTCTCCCGGCCCGGGAATCGAACCTGGGACCTCTGCGTGGCAGTCCGGCATGGTAACCGTTCGGCCACGGAGGCAGTTACTTTTATTATCACTGCTAAAAAAATAAAAATAAAATATAATCACACCAACTCTTACCCGGTCTCAAGTCAGAGAATTCCCTGTATTATGAGGATCAGAGCAATGGGATTCACTCTGGGGCACTATCCACCAAGACCAGAACCAAGTAACCCATATTTGTCCGTATGTATTAACTTACGAAAATTGACAATTCAAATGAACTTGTGCTCAGATGAAATTGTGATGATGATTCAAATGAAACAAGATCTTATTCCATTTTATGCAATGAACTGTCATTTTACTCCGTCTTCAAAAAAAGACAGATTAAACTATGTTCCAACCATAGAAATGTACATAAAAATAAATTTATTTATATTTCTGTGGTTAAAACCGTCGTTTTATCAAGTTAGAAGTAACGGGTCTCGCACGAGGCTAGCACCTCTTCTGTAGTTATGAAAAGCAATTAATTATATTCTATGACTGTCATTGTCACGAAATGTGATTGTGATGTACAGACATTCTATACATTTTCCTACATCAGTGTTGTTACTTTTAGGGTGCACTTGGACTACATTATATTAATGAACGTTGCGCGATTTTTATGAGCTCTATAACATGACGTAGACACCACAAAGCTATTACGGGAATTGTTATAGTGTTTAAATCATATTGGTCGTTATCTCTTGCTTTGATAACCTGGTGATAGCGTTTAATTCACAATAACTACTATAATAGGATTATTATTTATTTATTTATTTGTGTAAAACCAACAGCTTAACAACAAATTAAAAAACATCATCAAATACATTACAGCCAATTAAAGATTTTCGCTTACAATAACTTAATGACTAAACAATGAGCACTTAAGAAGTGGTCACAGCAAATAAAATGAATATGTAACGAATACTTTTAACTTAAAATACAAAAAATATATAGAATATAATAAATATGTTATGTAAATCATATACATCCCAATACCTGCGGCACGAAATAATTGCCCATTAAATAAACACAAGTTTACGCTGTAATGAGTTCGAATTAAATTAAATATGTCAATATTAAGTTCACTCCTGCTCAACACATCGTTCAAACTCTTGCAAGGCCTACAAAGAAAACTGTTTTGTCTATATTTAGTCCTCGCCAGGGGAACTGCAACAGGACGGTAGTATCTCATGGAACGCGTGAAATATTAAACACAATACTCAGTAATTCGGGACAGTCGACATCGCCGTATGACATGACATTTAACAAATACACTAAACCAGCAATATTCCGGCGAGTAATAAAAGAATTATAAACACCTTTAGTAGTTTTATCAAACAAATAGATTTTGGTATATTTTTACCATAGCCATCAGTAGGTATAAATTTTTTTAAAGATTGACTAGTTTGGTATGCGACACGCCTATCCATAGCCGTTACAGTACCACTGAGAGCTTTAAATGGCAAGATGTTATGGGCACTGCCACTGCGCCCTTCACTCTGAGACATAAGTTGACAAGTCCCATGTGTCTGTAATTTCACCAGCACCCTTACCCTTCTAAATCGGAACGCAGTAATGCTAACATTACCGTTTGGCGGCAGAAATAGGTAAGGTGGCAGTACTTCCCTAGACGAACTCTTTCACAAGGAGCTTTACTTCTAATAAGATGTAAACATACGGGACAACTGCAATGCACTCAGAGCTTTAAATTGCAAAGATCTGGGGGCACTGTCACTGCGCGTGTCACTTGGAGCTATGAAGTTGACAAGTCCCATGTGGCTGTAATTTCACCAGTAATCTTCAAAATCCGAAGGAAGTAATTCTACACTCTTACTTTTCTAAACCGGAACGCAGGAATGCTCACGTTACTGCTTGGCGTATTCGTAATGCAGTGCTCCATATTTGAGTAGTAATGCCCTATGTACTTGTATTTCCAAACTGCCTCTGTGGCCGAACGGTTACCATGCCGGACTGCCACGCAGAGGTCCCAGATTCTATTCCCCGGGTCGGGAGAAATATTTGTATGGCCTACATTTATTTCTGTCATGAGTTTGGGTGTAATTTGTTGTCTATGTGTGTGTCCATGGCACCCGCGACATAGGGTTTCCCTAGTACGGGGCTATGTTCGTTCACCCTTCAAAATCGGAACGCAGTAATACGCACATTACGGCGTAGTGAAGGAATTAGATATGTACATATATGGCGGCAGTTCTTTATAGTTCTACTGCTATATCTTTTTCGTCTCCGTTCACCGCTGTCAATTATCGAGTTATTAATAGCAAAACACGTGTTTAAAATATTTTTTCGTTTCAGAATAGACTGGATTGGTCAAAACCATTGCTCTCACAACTAGACGCCATTGCGCCTCACTATCAGAAATGGGTGAACAGTGCCGTCTACAGAAAATGCAGATTATTCAAGAACCCAATTCTTGAGAGCTTGACGTACACGCCATGGTATCTAGTGCCTATGTTTTGGATTCCTATAATTTTGTATTTGGGCTTTGTACAGTTTTTGGAACACGTCTGTTGTGGAGGTGAGTGATATATACATATACTTTATATTATATACATACCGCGTATCGTAAAGGAAATTGAATTTAATATTTACATATAAGTCGTCCAGCATTACATTTTTTGAGGAAGGAAGGAAAACCTAACCACAAACGCGGATACGGCAAATATTTTAAGAGTGTAAATAAGTGTACCGATCGAAATACAAATACGTGGGGCGCACTATAAGTTTCTTTCACTATTATTATTATATTAAATATAGCTCGATTACCACTGACTGACTGATCCAGTCATTTAGATGATTGTTCTCCCAGAAGAAGTCGCGGTGGGTCAAAATGATGTATGGGAGTCGTAGTCGGATGGGTCCGGTGAGTACCAGAAAAATCCGAAACCTTCGAAAAATCTGCCCAAAATAAAAGTGCTCCGATCCGGCTGAAATTTGGCAAGTGGTCGTGTATGGGACGCCCAATAGGAAAATGTGGTTGAAACTTCGATTCTGCCATTTTCCAAGATGGCCGCCATACATGTGAAGTTTCTGCTCTTTGGTGTCATTTTTCTCCCGGAAGGAGTGCGGGTGGGTAAAAATGATGTAGGGGAATTATGGTCGGACGGGTTTGATGAGTATCAAAAGGTACGGTGATTTTCGTAAAGTACTCCGCATCAGATAGGACCCCAGCTGCCCGGCTAAAGTATGCGTCTTGGCTCAAAGCGTCCAAACAACTGTTTATCCACACCCTGGGCACTTCCTACCGGAAGTGAAAATAAGTCCACCGTCAACTTGCTTTTTTTTTTGCGGCAAAAATGCTTTGAGGCCCACATCTCGACGGGTGTTGGAGATAGATGAGAGGCGCTTAAACAAATGTCGTACAGAATAGTACGAGACGACTGCAGGTAAAAAAATTTACAAGTTGGGTATCGTTTTCGAGATATTTGGGGGTGCTCATTACGAATATAGCACTTATTTGTAAATCCAAGATGGCGGACACGATTTTTCAAAAAATGCTATATGGGTATCCTTTTCGAGGTATTTGGGGATGCTCAATACGAATATGGCACTCATTTCTAAATTCAAGATGGCGGGCACGATTTTTCGGATAATTAACAATACCCAACTTGGCATTATACGAAAAATCGTGCCCGCCATCTTGGATTTAGAAATGAGTGCCATATTCGTAATGAGCACCTCGAATACCTTTAAAATGATTCCCATATTGCATTTATTTGAAAAGTCGTGTCCGTCATCGTGTATTCAGATATAAATGCCATTTCCATGAGGATTACCAAAAATAAATTTTTGGAAAATTCTTGTCACTTGACATTGTCGATCGACAGTAACGATCGACAAAACAGAGCATATCTGTAGGCACCTGATCGACAATGTCGATCGACAGTAACGATCGACAAAATCGAGCAAATCTGTACATACCTGAGGGCCTAGCCAACGTGTCTTTTTGTTAGCGATATCGCCAATGGAATAGAAAGACAATGTATGGGATAGACATAAGCGTACGAAATGTCACGTGATGTAGCGTAACGAACGATAAATTGGTAGCCAATGTTAATCACTTTCTATTCCATCAAACGGAACGTCCAACTCGTACGACAACTCTCATATAAACCGTAGCCAAAGTGGCAATTTTGACAATCGCTTACGCTCGCTATCTATTCCATCGATCGATTACAAAGCGATCGCCAACACCTTGTAGAAAACGAAACAAAATGGCGATTTTATAATCAGCTGGCGAAGTTTTGTGTCGTGTTTGTGCCCGAAACAAAAGTGCTCCGATCCTACTGAAATTTGACATCCGGTCCTGTATGGAGGCTCATAGTATGTATCTGTGAACGAAATTTGGATTCCGCCATTTTCAAGATGGCCGCCATACAAGTGAATTTTCGGTTTTTTGACCAGCATTTTTGTCCCAGAAGAAGAGCGGGTGTATAAGAGTGATCTATGGGAATAATGGTTAGGTGAGTTTGATGAGTATCAGAAAGTACCAAGACCTTCGAAAAGTGCTCCGCATCAGATAGGACCCCAGCTGCCCGGCCACAGTATACGTCTTAGCACTAAGGTCTCCAAACAAATGTTGCTCCACAGGCAGTTTCTGCAGGGATTAAATAAATTCAAAATTCGAAAAACAAAATGGCCGCCATATACATTTCGGGGACCTATATCTCCGTAACTCTTAAAGATAGATAAATTAAGTTTAAACCAAAGTCCGAAAAGGCGATAGGAGATAATCGATTGTCAACTTCATTTTTTCAAAATGGCCGATTCAAGATGGCGGCCCGAAAAACTTCACCGATCGTGCTGAAATTTGGCACGTGGCCGTGTATAAGGCCCCATAATAAGAAATTGTATCTATGGTTTTTCGATTCCGCCACTTTCCAATATGGCCGCCTTACATTTTCCACCGTCCAACACCATTGTACTCCTAGAACGAATCGAGGCGAGTTAAATAAATGTACAAGGATTGTGTTTGACTGGGAATATTGAATACCAGAACAATTCAAAGCCTTCAAGAAGTGGTCTGCCTCAAGTAGGACATCAGTTGCCCGGGCAAAGCGTTAGAGATGGGTGTATGGCGTCCAAACAAAAATTGTCAAAGACCAGAGCAGATTCTACCAGAATCAAAATTTTTCTAATATGGCGAATCCAAGATGGCCGCCATAAAGTAGTTTACTTTACTGAATCTTCGCAATTATTGATGATACATGAGTAGTTTCTTCTGAAGTATTTAACGATACAACTTGACGCGATCATCGCGCGCTGCCATAGAAGTATTTTTTGGCAGTAGATGAAAATTTGCTCTAATTCATTTGAAAATCGGCATGAGGGGTCCTCTATGGGTGTTTAATAATAATTTGCAGTCAAAATTTACTTTTTTCCATTTATCAATATAGCCGCCATTAAAGAGCTATGTTAATTTTTTTTAAATCATAAGTGCCGAGGCCGTAAGCTGAGGTCTAGCGGAAGGCGAAGCCCGAAGCGTCCGCAAGCCACTTTACGTAGGTAGTATACGGGGATTAGATTTCACAATTGTTCAAAATGTAAGGCCTACTTCCCGTTGTGGAAATAATATCTTATTTACTTATAGCGTTGTTGTATCTCGACCGTCTCTCTGTTAGATTCTTTTTTATTCTAAGCGATGCCAAAAAGAGAAGTATTTAGGGAAAAAATGCCAGACAATCACTTCAGATTTCTGGTCTCAAACTAGGGAATTTCCTGTACTGTGAGTACCAGAGTAACGATAATTCTGAAGGCAATACCCAGAATACCCTGACTAAGACTAACTTAAAAATATTTTTTTCATAAATAAGGGATCGAATCTGGAACCTCCTCATCAAGCGCCCATAGTACTAACCACTGTGCCACCGAAGAGCATAAGCACACCCTGTAATCTGAAAGTGACCACGCGCCGAAGGCCGAGCCGAGGTATAGGGCTCGTTAGTTTATAAGAATAAGAAAAAATACTATAAATGGTCAGAAATGAATTTATTGTTTCTCAAAATATTCTCCGTTAGCGTTAATGCACTTTTTCATACGAATGAACCAATTTTGAAAACATTTATGCCACTCCTCCGTGACAATCTCTGAAACATATTTTTCATACTCTTCGACAGCCTCTCCAGGTGATGAAAATCGTTGACCACGTAACTGGTTCTTAATTTTTGGAAATAAATAAAAGTCACACGGTGCCAGGCCGGGACTGTACGCGGGATCACTCATAAGGTCAACGTTGTTCACCTTCCAAAAATTCATTTGTCTGTCTGGCCGTGTGAGAACTGGCATTATCGTGGTGCAAGATGATACGGCGTTTACTGGTATTTTTACGGAGTTTGTCAATAACTTCCGGCAAACAAATAGTCGTGTACCAATTCTATTCACTATTGACGGTACAACGATTCTCCAAAGCAACAGTAGCCACGGGTCCAGTTTTATTAAAAAAGAAGCAATCATCCGCTTAAAGGCACTTTCCACGCGCGCCACTTTGGTTGGTTTCGGCTCATCTCGAAAGACCCATGCGCTCGATTGCTGCTTTGTTTTGGGATCGTAACTATAAATCCATGTTTCGTCACCTGTTACTATGTCCCACACTAAATTTGACGCCCTTTCGTTGAATCTGGTAAGCATGGCATTGCACCAAGTGACGCGATTCGTTTTTTGAGCCTCAGTCAAATTGTGTGGGTTCCACCGAGAGCTTTTTCACACCCAACACAATACAATACAAATATTCTTTATTGCACGCGGACAAATGCATAATAACAATATAACAAAAAGTCAAAATTACAGGTACAACAGGCGTCCTTATTGCTAAATAGCAATCTCTTCCAGGTAACATTTGGGTTACAGGAAAAACAGTAAAATAAAATTATTTTTTGAGGTATGGAGGAGAGGTGGGCATAAAAAGAACAGAGTATAGAAGGGATAAAATGCGAAAGTCCCTACGACGACGAATGGGTAAACAAGTTTGGTTCGAAAGTCTGAAACATGGTCAAATTTACGCAACCCAAAAATGCATGACCCAAATGTTTGTGTAGTATTGATTGTATTTGACTCATGCCTATGTCGAAAGATACCCGAATCTCATGGTATATCACATGCCTGTTTTGATCATACGGCACACAGCATCGATGTTTTTGTTGTTCACAGCAGTGGACGGGCGACCTTCACGAAATTCGTCACTGAGATTCACATGACCGCGTTTGAATTCTCCAGATTAAATAGTCGTCTTGCATGGTGCTTCATCGCCAAAAGTTTGAAGCCGAGCGAAGCTCCGTTGAGCTGTTACATTACACTTAAAGTCGTAAAAAATCATACGACGAAAATTTTCTCGAGTTAGTCCATGGTGATGTAGACAACCAATTTCTAAAATGACGCCATAAAAACTAGTGACAGTCAGATGAAACAAACTGTATTCTACAGCCAAAGAGTGCCATTTTCAAATGTTGTAACTAGTTTTTATATATTGTTTACGTAAGTGGCCAGTTCCGGAAACTAATATTGCGCCCTATGTATAATATA